TAAAACCAGGCTTATTCAATGTAAACAAGATAGCTTCACAGATTTAAAGTGTCTTGAAGCAGGAAGCAACTCACTGACATCGGAGTGAATATAATGAGACACGAGTTTAAAGAAAACAGATGGTATTGAGATTGACAGAACCCTTTGGCCCCTAACCATTCTTAATCAAGTGGTTCCATTTCAGTCAGAAGGAAATTATTTATTGAGGTGGAGTGTTAACGCATTTTAGTAAGGGCAGAGAAAGAAGAGCTGTGCTCTTACCACTGTATTGCACTGAGAAGCAATTTTTTATACAGGGTTGCTAATGTGGAAAATTGAATAAAGTGCCATTTTTAGCTTTTTGAAAAGTGCATCTGGCTCTGAAATGGTTCATGTGAGTTTCCATAGTCCACCATCTTCCTATATGCCTTAAAAACAAAGGATCTAAACCTTATTTTTTTACAATTCTTGTCAATATAGGCTACAGTTGTTGCAGAAAGGATTCACACTTCTACATTTTATGCACATTTTACTGCTGTAAATTGATGTTAAAAAAATGCACTTAGAATATGCAAGGAGTAAAGGGGTGGGAAGCCTTTCTGACAGGACTGTATCTATGTATGTGGAATGTATGTACTGTATGTATCTGAACAGTCGGGAACTGTTTAGATACATACAGATAAGGCACTTCTATGACAAGGAGATTAAAAGTTGGATATCAGGAAGGAGCAATGTGATTAGAATCTTTATAGGTGCATATAACAAATTCCCTCCAAGACTGCGTCTAAATTATATAAAGGTCTAAGTGCTAATGGAAGGAATTCATTATATGTGAAGTTAAAATGGGAATCAGAACTAATTAAATTGCCAGGTGAAGACTGTGGTGTTTTGCACATGGAATGCCAAACCTCCACCAACTCCAAAAGATTGAAGGAATTTGGGCTGAAAAATGTAATTTACTTTGTCACATTGACAGCAAACTAAATAGAACACAGCAACAATATTGGAGACTATGTGGACATAAAAATGCCAGTCATTCACATATATTCTGGACATGCAGAAACATAGTCATTCTGGGACAGAGTTATACAGATATTGGAAGACATTTTTCATTACAGGATCCCCAGAGATCCCTGGACTTTGTCCCTGGGATTAATAACTGAGGATGTAATTTTGAAGGAAGACATTTATCTTTTTAAAAATCTAATACTTGCATGTATAAAGTCTATTACAAGGCAATGATTGAAAAGTGACCCCATAACACCAGAACAACGGTTGATGGTCGTAGAGGAAATATTCTCCATGGATACGCAGACCCACTATCTGAGATTTACAGCTGGGACCTTTGAACAGCGGTGGAGGAAATGGACTGTATACAAACAAAAGACTGGGTCATATTATGATTCAACTTGAGAACACTGGAGGCATGCCTGGAGAGGCATCAGAGAGAGAAAAAGAGAACTGCTGAAACAGCTGAAGGATCAGTAGAAATTGCTGAATTTCTTTGTTAAAATAGTTGAGAGGAAATGGCTGACATTTTTTGTTGAATAAGCTGAAGGATGAGATACAATAAATACAAG